ATACCGTCAAGGTGAATCCGGTGATTGGGGCAACGGGCATAAAATTTAGCTTATTGTCTGAGTAGACTTCACGTAACCGATGGTTAGAGACACTGAGTGATATGGCTGAGTGTCGCAAACAGTGGCGTTCATGCATCTTGTCAGTTTCTCTGCACAATTAGTGCAATGAAATTCTAACTTCTCCTTTTGATCCTACTTTCAACCTTTCTTGTCTTCCTCTCTCATGTTCATTCAAATGGGCAACCAAAAGACAGCAACCAAAACCCGCACACGAGAGTGCATGGTTAATGGTTGTACAAACTGAAACTGTACTGAACTGATCCCCATCAATTCTTTTCTAATGTAGGTGAAAAACAGGGAGTGGCTTACCTCGTCTGAAATTAAAGTTCAATCATCCTCTGGTAAAAAGCAACTAGATATACAACTGCAAACAATGGACTGGAAACAGCCACCACCACCACCACCCACCAGACTATGTTCTATTCTCAGACCAAGTTACAATTTTGTGTGTATTCTGGTCAGTGCAAGAACGCATTAAGTGACCTGAATGGAATTGATCTGTGTAGAATGACACGTGATCTTCACCTGGATCCCGGTCAGCTATTGTTCAGTTTGACTAAGCCGCTATTCAGTCGTATGAAACTGTTGTACCACGGGCAGTGTCCTTTCGTCACGTCATTCAAAATGTGACTTTTTCGGGCGGGCCAAGAGTTGATCTACAATGGGTGAGGGAGTGAGAACAGACTGTTGGCTTGACACACGCTCGTATAATAAACACATTATAAATTATAAATGAATAATTTACTTGAGAGAGTTTGCGAATAAGCAAAGTGAACCCCTCAGGACTCTGAAACGTTTTTTCCCCGACTTGTCAAACGTGCAACTAGCTTTGGTTCATCTCCTACCCACAATGGCTTCGTTTTGGGTGTGATTTTGAATTAACTTCAATTTTACTAATGGGGGAGGTTGGCGATGAACACGACCACCACTGACCTTTATAAATATATCACACGTCTGAGAACAGGCTGTGTGCCAGGTAAATCATAGTACAAAAATCTTCATAGAGAAGACAAAACGTTCCATGATTGGCTTGTGAGCTGAATACTGCCAGTCTGCCCAGACCAAGGCAGGTGAATTTTCTGGAGGAATTCACTGCTGGAGCCTTCGGCCAGCCAAAGCTCGGNCCCGGATGTCTACTTTTCCTTCTCTCACTTTGGTAGGAAAACACCTCCTCTACGAGAAGGTAGTGAGCAGGACTTCCTCAGTAGAGGCCATTCGAAACGCTTGGTCGTATGGGAGTATTTCGCGAGATGCAACGGAAGGGTAACCAGCCACAACCTTAGACACCCACCCCCGATCATACTGACCTGGATCCATTCAAGACGCATCTCTTACTGGCATGCACGCTGGAAGACAAGGATCATACTCTTGCCCGAGCCTTAAGTTAATGCGTTGACTAGACAGTTGCAGCCATCTGGGGGCCGTGTGTGGGAGTCCCACTAAAGTCGCCGATCTTCCTCCTTGTTGCATATTCCGGGGGATCTTTCATTGAATAAAACCTTCCTCCTGATATTTGCTTGCCCAGTTTTATAAAGAATAAATGAAAGGGCACAAACTTTTATTGTTACNGGGGGGTCTTTCATTGAATAAAACCTTCCTCCTGATATTTGCTTGCCCAGTTTTATAAAGAATAAATGAAAGGGCACAAAGACTATTATTATCATCATTGCTTTTATTACTACTATCACTGCTACTACTACTACTACTACTACTACTACTACTGCTACTACTACTACTGTTATAGATCCAGAAGGCGGTACTTGGACGAGGACAGTTATTCATTGGGAATAACGGTCAGTGTATCAGTAAAATGGTATACATCAGCCAAAAGTCTCATTTGGAATGAGTATTCGGAATTTTTCCATGCATATAAGGTAGTTAATGGAACTGTTCACCAGTAGATGGGCAAATGTGAGTAATACACACACGCACTACCACTACTACTTCCACTAACGAAAAGTGAATGAAAGTGAAAACATAGTGAATTTTCAGGCCGCAATTTTTGTGTGCCTATTCTAATTGATCTACGCAATAACCTTGTAATCAAGGTCAATCGAAGCCACTCTCTTCTGTAAACAATACACAAAGTTTAACTGTCCGTATCAATCACATTCATTTGTTCCAATCCGTTGCTTAGCATTGCTGCATTCTACGGGAGGCATCGAAGCCAACTGCCAATGTTTACCCCAATTTTGGACTCCAGTTAATCCGTGTGTTTAGTTTTGTTCAACGTGAGAACGGATTACTGTTCAGAAACAAATCCTGCCTGTGGAGGAACACAATGGTTCAATTGTTCATCAGATTTGGCAGTCTGATGCGTGTCAATTTTATAATTTGATTTCGTCCGAGTGCGCTGATCGTGGAATATTCAAATTGCCAATTTGAAGGCCCTTTTGTTTTGTTCTCATGCCTGGCCATCACAGCTCAATCGTAATGATTCTCACGTGGCGCGACGATTTTTATTAGATAAATCTGCCGCTTTGTTTTGATTGGGTAATGCATTCGGTTCGCGGGTATCGATACCAATTTTTATTGCAATTTTTGGAAGATCTGTATACAGGTGTATCAAGAATTCCCGTACGCCAAATAGTCAGATCCTCAAACGGACCAAGTGGAATTCTCAGTCTTACTACTGAAGACGACCATAACATCTGGTCGCCTCGCAATCAACACACACACACAAGCGTGCACCAATGGCAGGGAGACTGTACGCATATGCGCTTGTGCACCAGAGCTGGGTTCACACCTCGCAGAATTCTACGCTAATGTTATGTTGGTTGAATCTGCAATAGTGAAATTGAGAATTCCGTTTGACCCGTTTGGAAATTTGATCATTTGATGTACCTGTATATACAATTATTTTTCGAAAATGCTTATTGAAATACATCCACACCTGCCAGTAAATCACGTGAACTGATATCCTCTCTCACACACACATCTTGTCTAACGAATTGAAGTGAAACCCATGCTCTGTTTTACTGTGTTCACTTCATGATTCCATTCACTGCGACTGACTCGACAGAATTCGGTTGTGGTGATTTCCGCGGGCTTGTATGGCACAGGTGATGCAGATATTGTTCGCTCATGAAGCGCATGGTGTACATAATGCAAAGTATTGATAGTGTTCAACTT